TATAAATAAATTTCTTTTCTATAATTTGTTTTCTTAAAGCTTCCTAATTTTGCTTATCCATTTTTCTTGGCATTCACGCGTTGCTTGTTTTTCTGAAAAATCAAAGTACTGTACCACATACTGTGTAAGACACGATTAAAGAAATGCGTAAATTAAACTGTGGGCCACTCAATTGATCGAGAGTTCTCATTTTGGTGACTTACTACCAAAACCTATCATATTGCCAAATTGGTCTCTTAATTTGATTTAGAGGTGAAGAAAAGGGCAGGGCCATAAGATTTTGGCCCTTTGGCCTGGGTTGATACGTTTTAATGGGTTAGTTAGGCCAGCCATGACGTGACAGTCATCCCTATTGGTATGTTTTGTTAGGCAGAAGATGATTCAAATTTCATTTTTTTTAATTTTAAAATAAAAATTTTATACTATAATAAATATTTTTAAAATAACTTAAATGAACAGTACTAGAGGTATTCGCCTCTTGCACTCTCCGGCCAACACTTTCACTCTTATTGGGTCACGTTATTTTCGTCAGTAAGAGGTTGCATTTCAAAGTGTTAAACAAGTTTACATGACCCAACGAACGGGGAAGTATTGGTCGGAGAGTGCAAGAGGCAAGTGCCCCTAACATTTATCAACTTAAATATATTAGTTAATTTTTTTTTAATCCTCCTTTTTTTAGTGATCATTTGTTCCCACTAAATCCCCATTTGTGTTTAATTATTTATTATTATTATTTTTTTAACGTGACACAAAGTGGAAAACATATAAAGGAATAAAGGAAAATGGAGGTTGACAGCTACTTATTTGTCGGGTTTTAAAAGAGTGTGACCAGAAGGAAAACACTTCATATGTTTAGTGACCACTCATGTAATTTACCCTCTGAATGTTGAACGTCAAGAGAGTTGGCAATTCTCAACTTACTAAAAAAGCATCACAAACGGGACATGTCCATGCCACTTCCTCGTCCTCACTTTATAGACAAGAAGAATCTTTGTCAAAAAAGAATGAAAAGAACATCACTTTATTATTATTTAAAAAAAAAAAAAACCCCAAAACCAGCACTGAGATCTCATTTTGAAATCTCCGAGATTAGATTGGCTGCTCGAGATTGTTCAATCATTTGACACTTGGTTTTCTCCTTTTAGGCTGCCAAGTGGACGTCTGTACTTTGCTAAATTTGTCCATGATATGGAGTGGAGGGAGACATGCAGATTCTACAATTTCTTTTCAAAAATAATGTTGGGACTTAAATTATTGGAAAGATGTGCTATTCGATACTGAGAGTTGTTTTTTTATATAATAGCCTCAATTTGTTAGAAAA